GACCCGCATGGTGTGGTGGTGAACGCGTTACTCCCCGGAAAGGACAATAGCGCGTTCGTTCCCCACTATAGACACCTGCGGTCCAGAGTTTTGCAAATATCTCAGCAACGTTGTGGTTGTATTTCGCTTAGTACCCTGCCGCGAAATTATAGTAGGTAGAAAACAAAAAGGTACAACATTAAGCAAACAGTCTTAGGACATTCCCATATTTCCCACATTACGGAGGAGGGGAAGAGAATCCCATGTTGCGATTTGAGTGGACCATCGAAGATCAGGAGCGGTGACATTCCAAAATGTTTAGTTAGCTTAGTTGTATCCATAATGTATACGAACGATTAGTGACTTCCGAATGATCTTCGCACAAGACAACGAACACCAGCCTAACAGTCCGTATTTTTCATAAAGATACCAGACGACATATGTACGCGTATTTGTGATGCTTGTCATCAAAAAGATGAACGGAACTATCGATTATCCACCTCTACTTAAATTTCGAAAGACTTAACGACTGATACACCAATTTTTTTTTAGCGTAGCGAGTTCTTGAACCCAGCTCCAACTGACTATGTATTTCATGCAGCATTGCAGTTCAGATTAGTCAGAAAATTATGTCACTTGCTATCTTGAACATGGTGACAAGTAAATATCCAAACGATGAAATGATTTCGAGGTCATATAGTTTCTAATAAACAATAATCTCATTAAAAAGCTACCTCATATATGGAATCACCAGGCTTCGTGCGAAATGTAAGTTGATAATGGGCAAATGAAGTTTTTGTACTTCCGCTCAAATCGGGCACAAAACCATCCCTGTCTTTTACGTCCTTATACTTCAGTAAGCTTTCGTTTGGTACAAGTCTAAAAGCCACATATTACTGAAACATGATGAAGTAATAATTTATCCTATAAAAACGCGGTCCATTCACCTTTTCGCATCCATCAATTCCTTCATAGTGAGTTCCGCACATAAATGAAACACATCCTTTAACTGATTGTTAATGACCATCACAACAGCTTGAGCTAATTTTTCTGCTATACCTCGCTCCTCAGGTGTATTTAAAGCGTATTGCCAATTCAAGCAAGTGCACCAGTGTGGCTCAACTCCGGCCTGAACACAGGAAATGAGCGGATCAGGTAATAACGCAGACACACCAACTCGGTGCTAAAAACCTTTAGAACTTGTATATAAGGAAAGAAATGCAGCAATAAAAACAAAAACCAGCGGAAGCGCATGTGGACATCACTTCTACAATTTCTGACAATGGTCTCAAAAGGAACCGCTATGGTCAAACCAAGATACTTGAAGAAAAGCAAAAAATTTCCGAGAGGAGGTACGAAGCACACGAAATGTGATATTTAAAAAAGAGTAAGCAATGAAAAGAAAAAAACCATACTAAAATCCAAAATGACAACAGAAGTAATGAGACGAAACCTGAGCACAAGTACGATTCTCTGGAATCGGTCGGAAAATCGACAAAGAACGCTTCTTTGCATTCTGCTCAATAGTTAAGTCATTTGGTACATGCAAAATATCCATCAAAGTCGCATGAATATCAAATGGTGTCGTCAACCTGCAGTGATTTTACTTTAGTGAAAGCAAAAACCTCCCAGTAGGATGTAACTGCCGAACTCGCTCATGCCCATCAAAGTATCTATGCAATGCGAATAGACGGCAAGATATCAGTGTTCAATATCTGCCTGCACTGATAAACTAAAGTGATTCAAGTGAATTCATTCGAAACTCGCGATGAGTGACACGCATAGTTGCCAAAAGGAGTTCGCAGGGGTAGCTGGCATAACATCCTCGGGTTTTCCTTTCTTTCCGATGGTTCATTCTAACACACAGACCTCTTTTCCCACACTTTTTGTCATGTACTGATGTCTTGTAGAACACAAATGTTATGTCTTTCTACTTCTGTTCAGCAAGCACGAGGTGCTATTTTACTTTATTTACGTACAAGCTGACGTTTCGGCGGATTTCGCCTTCCTCGGAGAAAACTGTTTTCTCTGTTTGGTTATGGAGGTGCTTGGCCGAGTGGATTGCTGTCAACTTGACCCTTCCAGGCTCTGAGGAAGGAGAAATCCGCCGAAACGTCAGCTTGTGCGTAAATAAAGAAATAAAATAGCACCTCGTGCTTGCTGAACAGAAGTAGAAAGATATATTCAATCAATGCCGAGGTTAATAGAAAGTCGGACTTGGGAGTTACTACAAATGTTATGCTGGACGTTGCTACAGAAAATTATTTTCTGTACTTAAAAATATACATAGAAAACCGTTTTCCCAACGAGTTCATCGTCAGAAATTTGGATGCTAATCTGCTACTATTTCAATTCCAACTACTATAGTGAGTAACAGTTATCGTAGTGTTCGGATATAAAATACTGAAATCGAAAGCCACAAGTTACAGAAGGCTTCCAAACCCTCGCTGTAATGTTTGTATAATGGACTACAACAACATACAGCAACTTGACACTTGAAACATGAATGGCCCTTCCTCACTGCTTGTGTGGTCCCCAGCATAACCACCATTTTTCGGCGATTTGCTGCTTAAGCCATTGTGGTTCCATGGAATCCCGAGATCAGCCTGGCCAAAGTATGTCCCAGAACTTCACCACCATAGGCAGCCGCAACCCTTGTGAATCAATGGGGAAATTTGCCACCATGTGACTTTGATACCAGGACGATAGTGGATTCCGGTACTGGCTTACTCTTAGCTGGGCTTCCTGGTGGAAACGCCGGACTCCTTCTCCGGCTTGGGAGACCCTGTCAGGGGGACGAATCGCCCTCCTGTACATCGCAGTCCGACACCTAAGAACACCTCTCAGCCACGATGAGGCCGTGAAACGCTGGGAGGAACATACAGTAAATAACACCATAAATATTTTTCATACCCAAGGAATGATGGACCAAAGCCTTTTCTGCAACATATTCATGTCCATAACCAACGATATCCCTTAGTTATTGAGAAATTATCGTTTATTTGCAAAAAATCAGAAAGTTAATAAAAGCTGAAAAAAGACACCGTACAGTTCGTTTCCAATAAATCGGTGATTAGACGTCGTCGCGAAAATGTTAACAAATTTGACAAACAATTTAGCAAACTGTTCGCAACCTTTCCGACAAAGCTCTCTATTAATCATTCTGAACCAAAACAAAAGTAAACACGAGTTATAAAAAACTTTCATTTGTTCTTTATTGCTAATAATTGCGAACAAAATGCCCCAATGATGTGGAGCCACAATGCTGAACTCCGTTATAAGCTGAACACGGAAGAAACGACGACTTTTACAAAGAGATTCTAAACATAGAATGTCCTGCTTTGGACTGACCCCATAACATTGTCTCAGATCGGCCGATATTGCGGTCCTGATCCTAGTTGCAAGGCAACAAATCACTCTCAGAAACCGTGAACAAGGGACATCGACTGAATATGACGTAAGCTTGAGAAACTCCTGACAATCATGTCAGCCCTGACATCAGACACCACGGTCAAGCTGCATCCGAACACACACTCGCTGTGCTTTTACTATCACCTGTACCACCTGCAGTCCCGATGATCGTCGAGTAACTCGTGCGGACACCAGTAAATCCTCCATTTTTTCCTGTCGCGTGCAAGAGTAGTCCAGTGGGTTCTGGTCGCTCTAGGAACTCGTTGAACATCATATCTTTCTTCTAGGCTTTTCGTGAAGAACTCTGATCATCGGGTTGGCGGCCTTACTACAGTGTGTTTAACATCCCGAGCAATCCAGTCACTAACGGCTCTTGTCCATCGGCTGTCGTTTATACCCATTACGTGGCCGGCCCACCTTATCTTCGACTGTTTGGCGTAAAAACTGTATCTTTCACTTTTGATCGTTGACGCAGATCGGAGCTTCAGATCCCTTCCCCTACTTGCGTGAAACGGGACACTCCCACGATCGTCTTTTCGACTACGCGTTCGATAACACTGAGTGATCTTGCATACTGTTTGCGCATGGAGTGTGGCGGTAATTTTCGCGAGATGGTATCGCCTTGCCTAACACCTCTTTTGACGTCAGTGTTAATACCGTTGTAGAATGCTGACACCTTGGTTGCGAAATTTTTGTATAGCTCATGAAGAATCTTTATGTATTGAGTAGGTACTCCTCAAATATCGAGGGCGTCCAAGACTCGCTCCATCTCAATTGAATAAAAGGCCTTCTGTAAAACGATAAATGTGAAACAAAGCGGTCTTTCGTACTCTCGCGATACTTCAATGAGTCTTGTTATCGTGTGGATGTGGTCCATCGCACTAAATCCTTTTCGAAACCCTGCCTGCTCACATGGCTGTCCTTCGTCCAGTGTTCTGCCAACCCTGTTTAGGATGACTCGAGTGAAAAGTTTGTAGACGACAGACAGTAAGCAGATTGGGCGATAGTTGCCGATATGGTGTAGGTCACCCTTCTTAAACAATAACACGCTCTTGCTGATCTTCCACTGAGTAGGGACCTTGCATTCAGACAGGTAACGTGTGGAGAATCGAGCCGGTATGTTTACGAGGACTGGCGGGAGATTCTTCAGGTGTTCTGGTCTTCTCCTATCCGGACCCGGTATTTTCAATTTTTCATCGAAAAAATGACATGTCGGATTTCGGGAGAACTAGTGGTACAACATATCCGTCCTCCTTTATTTCATATGACGGAAGGTGGACGCCGCTATCGAAGAGATCTGAGTAGTACTCGTGAATGATTTTCTCCACTGCCTTTCTGGACGCTGTAACTGTTCCGTCTAGGCGTCGGAGTGCAATCATCTTTGTCTTGTAATTGGCGAAGTTTCGGTGGGCTTTGCGAATGGTTTTCCCGGTCTCTGCAGGTTCCACCATTACCGCTGCTCTTCTCTCTTTAAGATCTTCTTTCATCGCCTGTCTGCACTGTTTTGCAAGTTCGGACGTTAGCTCGCGGTTGCCTGCAACTCGTGCGATTTCACGCTGGCGTGTAAGCTTGAGTGTTTCTGGAGACAGACGTCTCTTGGTAACTTTCGAACTATCAGCTTTCATAGTGCTAACGTGAAGATCTTGAATGAGCCGATGGTATAAAATAAAACAAATCTGCAACATTTAAAATGCACTGTTTTTATACACACTATATAGAATTACATCCAATATAATCTGCTATATTTACAATGGGTGCGTGTTGCGCAATGATCAGAGGCCCCTTGCAGTACACATGGGATCGATCCCGCGCCCATGGCACACCAAGCCTTCTATCCCTCTGAGGTCGGCAGTTTGGGACCAAATTTCCTGGGAGGATAGTAGCATTGATTCGACACATCGCTAGCTCACCGCGAGTCACTGTAAAGGCCAGGTATGCAGCCAGTCACCTACAAACGATGCTTAAAGAAGTCGAATGCATGGCGCATTCGTTAGCGATAGATCAGCACCGGGAGCTCTATTTTCTTTTAGTAAAATAAAGTGCAAATTGACAGTGAAGTATCTAAAAACATGCTCGCTAAGCTGCCTTATAGAGAACATTCTCCACGAATATTGGAATGTTCTCTATGTAGAACAATTATAACATTATGCCTTCTACAACACCTATCTACTCGTAATCGTCATACATCTATCCTTGCACATTCAGTAAATCATCTCTTAACAACCGTTTCATGCAATTGCCTCGCAGGTGGATGGAAAGGGAATCAGCAGCAGCCAGCTGAATGCACTTTTCAGCATCTGTCGCTCCAAAAAAGTCTCCGAACAGACACCTGCACCATTCCACATGCAACCCCTCTCTGAACGCCGCCTTCAGTTCCCTCTAGCAAAGCTCCACCCACTTCAGATGTAATACAGGCAGCCCATAGGACTGGTCCTGAAATCTTAGCCGTGTTCGAATGGTCTGCTTCCGATCCCTCAATTCCTTAGTGCCCCAACACCAGTGTCCGCGTTATTTCCTTCAAGTGTATCACTTGTTACCATCCCAATTCCATCTTTATCCACTCAGCTTACATATCGCCGAATATCACTTGTTACCATCTCAATTCCATCTTTATCCACNTGCCTCGTTACATCAGTAGTCCACCGCGAGTTATTGTAAACGCTAGTTGTGCACTCATTCATCTCCAACGATGATTAACGAACTCGGATACATGGCGCATCCCTTAAGGTTAGATGAATGCCGAGAACTTTATCCCTTCTTATCCTTAATCTTTCAACTTGTACTTTCTAACCAAATGTTACATTTCTTATATTATTCAGGTCACACGATGTTGTTATAGACTTTTAGTCGGCTAACGTTTGGGTGCCTAAGCACCCGTTCAGAGACCCGTTAATCCGACTCTACCACCCACAGCCAGTCTGATTTAAGCTTTCGTTGTCTCATCGAGTTGAATCCTCTGGAGAGTAGCACTGCTCGAATGAAGAACCCCACTCTGCAGTGGCTTTTCTACAAGGCAGTTGTCGACCTTTTGCCATGCGATATATATCCGACAACAACCTTCGCTTACCTGAATGAGATTTTTGATTAGCCATCACCTGTATTACCTGTAGATCCGTTGATCATCCCTGTCGTGTTCGTGCAAGAGAA